TCTTTCACTCTCTCTCTCTCTCTCTCTCACTATACATTTAGGAATATATGTATGTGTGTGTGCTGGTGTGTGTGTTGGAGTCGATTTGGGGTGAGTGTGTGTATATGTTCTGTGGGGTGTTGGAGTGGTGGTGTGGTGTGTGTGTGTATGTGTATGTTTGTGTGTGTGTGTGTGTGGTGGGTGTGTGTATGTCCTGGGGTGTGGGGTTGAAGTGGTGTTGTGGTGTGTGTGTGTGTGTGTGTGTGTGTGTGTGTGAGTAGGGTGTGTGTGGGTTTATGTATGTATGTGTGTATGTCCTGGGGGGGTTGAAGTGGTGTTGTGGTGTGTGTGTGTGTGTGTGTGTGAGTAGGGTGTGTGTGGGTGTATGTATGTATGTGTGTATGTCCTGGGGGGTTGAAGTGGTGTTGTGGTGTGTGTGTGTGTAGGGTGTGTGTGGGTGTGTGCAGGGTGTGAAAGTCTGAACAGACGGTTTATTTGAGTGCGTCTCAGGACATACACATGCTCCGTCAAGGAATTTTGAAAAGGAAAATTGTGAATGTGCCCTCAAGTAGTCTTCACACTGTTTGTCTGTCTTCACCTTTGTCTCACTTTCGTCTGCCTCTTTATTCTTCTGTCTGTTTGGCTATTAATACTGTACACTTTCTCCAGTCATCATATATATATATATATATTATATATATATATATATATATATATATATATAAACAAGGACTGGACATAATAATGTAAAATATATTTATATATTAATGCTAAGTACCTGATAAACAGTGACACAAGCTAACATAACCTACCTGTACTAAAACCAACTTGGGTAGAAACTCAAAAAACTAGCATCTTGCAACATAGGAACTGAGGTTTGTGAGGCTCTGTTCTTTTCTTTTGGATCCTTCTGCTCTAAAATAAAATGATAAACCTCCAAAAGTGAGAGGAGTGACCTATCTTGAAGTGGTAGGAGCTGGACATTGTGAACATTATGAAATTAAACCCAAAAAGAAGTTAATAACTAAATGTTGATGAATAATATATTACTATGTAAAAGTAAATTCCTTCCTCATAAGTATACTTGAGTAGAAGTAAAGAAAAGTACAAATCAATCAAAACTTTACTTGCTTACATGTGACTATGTTTTACATATTAAGCCTGTTTATATTATATGTGGAGAGGGATTAAGTTTCACAATTTGTTTATAAGAAGACACAAATATGGAAACACGTTCAACAATATATAAATTATTAGCTTGTGTGTGTTTTGTATCTGCTGTTGGAACAAAACCTCATGTCTCCAAAATGACAACTTTACAAGAGAAGGAGAAAACATACTTTACTTTTAATGTAAGTCAATGAAACCAGACTTTTTTCCAGGTAATTTTGGCCTATTTTGCTTGGTCTGTTCATCATGAAATTTAAACACAATATAAAGGGAAACAGGCCGTTTCAAATGATGTCAAGACCTCAAAAATGACATAAGTGGTGTTACGAGGTCTTGTTTTGACAGCAGAGGTAACAAGCATTGTTGAGGTTGCACAAAAGTCGAAAACATAAGAACAAGCAGCATAAGGATGAATATTAATACAATGGGCAAAAACTACACTGGCTACAAAATTGCCAATGAAAAATCAGTGTTGGATTGGAATGACGGAATGTTGAGATGGAATGATATGAATTCTCCCGTTTACCAATCGCTGATTTCTTTGCTTTGTTGAGCCTGACTGTGAGAGATTCCGTGCTAGATTGTAAACTAGATTACTTTGTTACTTTGTAGCCAAAAGGGGCGGGCTGATCAGATGTGACAGTTTTTTCCAGGAGCTGTAAAGTTTTCCATTAGCATTTTTGCTGAGTAAAAGTGAAGTTAGAATCTGTATCTTCGTTGACCAGAAATAGATGAGGAGACAATGGATGGCTAATGTCAGTTAATATGAATAGCACATGCACAGAACATGCGCATACCCGGGAGTGAAGTTACAGCAGTTGTAGTTGGAAATATGCTTTGTTTGGTATCTTCTGTAACAAGTTGCATATCATCACTCCTGGAGAAAAAAGCTCATATATCCAAAATACAGGACAAGGAGACAACATTGTTAACTTATAATGAAAGTTAATATGGAGAGCTTTTTTTTTCAAGTAATTGTGCAGCATTTCTGTTGGTCCGTTACAAAATATTTGTACAATGTGAAGTCCAGCTGATGTTTTCACATGATGTCAAAAACTGAGAAACAACACAAAAAGTGGAGGTAGAATTTTGTTCAGACAGTGACAATATACTCTCTGGATAGTTTTATAATGGGCAATTTGAGGGGGCAGATTTTAAAGGTTTAGCTTAGATTAGACCGAATAGTATCCCAGTCTAAAGTAAGGCCAGACCATCAATTAGTGATGTGATGAGGGCATCAGTATTTGGAATATGGGAACACTACGAAGGAACAATGCACAATAGGGTTCACCTGCTTCTGTAAAAGAGCCTTATATTCTCTTTCCATTATACAACTATTTCAGAGCAATCACTGGATCCAGTGACTCGCACACAATGGCCACCCATATTGTTAGGGATTCATCACCATATTTAACAGTTGGCAGACGCTGTAGGTGGAAGGTATCTTTTGACTGTCTTGAAATATAAACTCCCATTGTAGGAGAAAATGCCAACTCATCAGACTTCATTTGTCTTTTTCCATAGCTCAGGGCTACAAAGATGTGCTTTGTTGTGCTGATTGTTAAAGTCCTTTATCACATTCTGTGTCCAGTATTTCACATTGTTTCCATCCCCAGTTTTTAAAATGCCATTTTCTGTGTGTAACTGAAAGCGTCACGCAGGACGCGCACCAACATTTCTCTTCTTTCAGTTTCATTTTCAAGGAATGATTTTTTTTTTGGGCGTGGCTGTTTTTAGAATGTAATACTATTATAATATGCTACTTTTTTATGGGTAAGACACAAACGATAGTTGTACAATGGTAATAGCATTAAGTAGTGTTTTGAAACTCTCAAATAGAAGGACTCAGAGCTTGTAATCTGGCTGCACGCTGCATTCCTGTACCTGTGAACTCTGCTTCACTGAGATGAATAGAGCTGAGATAAGTTTTTTGTGCTGGCCAAGATCACTGACATAACACACTGGGTGGGCTTTCAGTGAGAGTGCTGTGAGAGCGCTTATCCTTGCCTCAACATGTTTCCCAGTCTGCAAGATTCACTGTTGTGTCTTAAAATCCTCAACTGTGATAGTGTAAGGTTTACAGTAGTGCAAACTGATGGGAGTCTCAAATCCATGCATTAGAACTGATGTCATTATAGGAATACTGTAAGAACTGTCCACTGCAACACATCTGTGATAGTATTATTACAGACCACTCACCAAAACAGAAAGTTACAGCAGGGTGACCATCATTATCCAGAAAGTGTTGGCGTGTAGGATTTAGTTTCACACAAGCAGTTACAAGCCTTCAAAAGAAAAGTTTGCATGACTGATTTTAGATCAACAAATCTTGCAGCGCCTACTGATTGACTTTGTAGAATTAGCTATATGTACATCTGCTTTATGGGGTCAAAAGCAGTGGTGATTCTAGACCTTAGAGAGCTTCAGTCCCCCTGTTTTTCCCCCAAAGAGGGACAAGGAGGAGTAAAATGCTTTAAATCTGGTTAACTGGCTAATGGTTATCATAGAATTATGACTACAGTAATGATTTATCAGTGCATCACTCCGAGTTTCTTATCTGATTTCATCAGATTTAACGTTAAATGCATTGCATTTGTCTTAGTGTAGTAGGTGCAATAGTGTTATACTGGGTAAGGCTGTGACTTTTAAGCCATTTTTACAGAATCATGCTTTTTATAACATATCTTAGACAAGAGCCTTCATGATGACTTCCAGTGATGCATTGTCCATCTTGGATTTTGGGTGGTTATTAAAACATCTGAGTGGAATCAGTGGAGTGTTGAGTATCCTTACTCACTAGTCTGTGTTTACATCTCTGGCTGGGCTCCGAGGATTAGACATATCTTTATAATAAATTCAGCAGATTTATTATCTGGGTTGCTTTGTTTTGTGTAGCATTAAGAGCCATCTGTCGATGTTGTTCTTTTTATCCTTGTGACTCGCATCCTGCTCCTTCCTCCCAAAACCTTTTTTTTTGGGGGGGGATTTTTACCCAATTATCTCCAGTTCCACCCGCTAGTTAGGACTCCCCCAGTCACACAATACCATCAACGCTAGGAGGGTGAAGGCTAACACAGGCTTCCTCCGAGACCTGTGAAACCAGCCACCGCTTCTTTTCGACCTGCCGCTCACGCAACGTCACTGGACAGCCGAACGCGTTCGGAGGAAAGCGCCAACCGCCAGATCTGTTACGTCAGCTAACAGACGCCTGCGCTGACTAGCGTCGCGTTAAGTGATGGGGGGAGAAGGAGGGGCCATCCTACCCACCCAGAGAGCGAGGCCAATTGTGTTCTCTTGGACTCCCGGCTACGGATGGCTGTAGCATCACCAGGGATCGAACTCGCGATCTCCAGATGATAGGACCAACGCTTAGACCTTTTTTGCCACTCAGGAGCCCCTTTCTCCCAAAACCTGGTCCAAAGCTTTGCGGTCTTCCCATCCCTTCTCCTGGAAATTTTCTTTTGTGTCATGATAAGAACCCAACAGCCTTCTGAGAATGTCTCACTACCTAAACACCGGTCTTCTTCAAAGTGCCCTCAGTGGCTTCACATATCAGTTGCGTCAGAAGTTTCTTCAAAATGTGCTGAGGGATTTCTGGGTTTAGGACTGGTATGTGGTTGAGATGCAGTAGTGTATAATAAAGACTCCAAATAGAGCTGCTGATTAGTGTCATGGAGCCTGTGTGTACCAGCAGCGGGGAACCACCATGATTCTCCAGTCCTCTGTGAACCACCAGTGAGCATAGAGGACAGTGATTGGCCTGGGGTTAGCTGGAATTTGAATGAATAATACTGTGGCTCAGCCGTTTCCTAATTGTGGTTAACACTCTTCTCCAATCTGCTTTCTCACAGCTGCCCACTCCAGTGTTCCCAGTTGTGGTGAAGATGGGGCACGCCCATGCAGGCATGGGAAAGGTAAGAAGCATGACGTGTTTAACATGTCACCACAGTTCACTCCATATATGGCTGCTTTTTTGGGAATCTGCTAAAGAGCACTTTTTAAGAGAAGCCATTCTTAATGAAAGGATGGGTACTCAGTCAGCCCTGCAAGATGTTAGCTCCTATGTTAAATTGTATTGTCTTTGAACTCTGTGAAATAAATTCAGTACATGAGCTACCATCTTGCTCTAAAAACATTACACTGAGTCACAGAATGTACCTTTGAAAAATACTTCTTTAAAGGTACATCCTGTGACCAGTTGTGCAGCGGAAAGTCCTGTTTTCAGTATTGCCTGCCTGCCTGCTGCTTTTTAGGTAACTAATTGAATAGCTTGGCATGACAAAGGCTGGGGAAACAAACTGAAAACCTTCTCTAAGCTGCAGTGACAGCACTAATTTGCAGTTTGTGTTTCTTTGTGAAGTAGACATGGAAGATTGACCAAAAAAACTGTTAGCAAACTAGCTAACTCGCTGAACATGAACAGTAAAAACACAAGATCAGTGGTTCCCTACCCAGTCCTCAGGACCTCCCAAAATTTTTCTTTATCCCTGTGTGTTCTGAGTTGGGTTGGAGCAAAAATGTGGACTGTCTTGGGGGCCCTGAGGAGCGGTTTGGGAGCCAATCTACTGATATATGCCACGGCAGCATAGTGCTGCACTTGTAGTAAGAAAGTGTATTGGCCAATATAAATCTTAGATCTCCTCCAGGCTTGCAGATATGTGAACGTATCATGTGCATTACTGACCATGTCCACTGGGCTGAAGGGCTGGCTAATTCTCTCATTCCTCTGGACTGCAAAGGTGATAATGCAGACTTTCTGCGACCTTCCAGGGAGGCCACTTCAGATGTAAGCTTCAGCAGAGTAATTCACAATTCATAAGGAAACATGTGATGACATAAGTGAAACAGGTTCCAAAAAATAGTATAGTTTTTTTTAATTAAACAAAATATTGGTGTCAGTGTTACCCAATGAGTTGAGCTGAAGTGCCCTCTCGTTAGCATTTTTCTATATGCTTGCAGCCATGTGGCCTTGCCGATCTGTTTTGATGACATAGAACACTTCTGTGAACATCACAGAGCATAGGTCTGTGATACCACGAGGCCAGTGCCCAGAGATTTAAATTGGGCATATATAACTGGTGTGATGGGCAGCAGTGGCATGCCAAGAAGCTAACCTAGTAGAGAGCAAGCTGACTAATTCACCTACCATAAACAGTAAAAGTATAAAAATAAGGCTAGTTCTACCATCTAATACAGTCTCCCGCCTGACTGTGTATCATTGTATTCTTTTCTTTTTTGTGAGGAAGACATGTTTAAAGGTTTGTGCTTAGGCACTACCAAATTTTAAGATTTTCTCCAGTTTGTTTCTCAGTGCTGCTACAGGAAGCCCTGTCCCTTCAGAGGTCAACACAGCTAAATTTGGTAGCTCTGCTGGCTGAGGACACAAAGTTGCCATCAAGGTTCACCAAAGAGCTTGACGTGAAGGTTGCTTGCAAAATTTATTCTCAAAACCGTTCACAGCTAATTCCACTGCGATGAATATACTTTCACTTGCAAAATGTCACTGACAAAATCTGGTATGACAGGGCCTGTAGTAAAGATATTTTTTTCAGCTCAAGGGCCACCTAGCACTCTTTTTAGAAATACACAATAACACTTTTTCTTTTCCCAAACTGATACCAATACTGAAATCTTTAGTGTCAGCCAATACTAATCCCATCGTTTAAATATTTTCTGATTACAGAGAAATGTGTCAAAATTATTGTTGCTGGTGATCAGCCATATGACACACAAGCAGCTGATAGAGCTTAGGTTGATAAATGCTGGAATGTTTCTGTAACTGACCTTGAAGTCAGATGTCATGGAATAATTTGATGTACAGTCTTCTCATGTCTTCCGTGCCTCCATACATGTATCATGCACCAACAGCTGCAGAGGTTTTATGTGTGTCTGTGCGATTGCATGTATTGATTTCTGTATACGTTTGTATGTGTTTGTTAGACAGGGCCACAGGGTGGGGAGTGCTAACTTTTATGAGCTTAGTTCACATGTCCCTGATGAGAGGGAGGGGGAATATTCTGGGGATTTCCCTCTCAGAACTTTCTAGAAGAGAACAAATTATGCAATAATACCACCAGCACTGTAATTATTAAAAAACAGCCATAAGACCTGTCCAACTGACCATTTGTATATTGTGATATATGGCCTTTCAGAATGTAATTTTACTTAATTACAGTGTAATAATTCATGAATTTCACAAAACAGAGGATGTAACAAATGCATATACTGGGTTTAGACTTGTGTTAGTGCCATTTAATTGTTAACAGTCTTAACAAATAAATAAAAACTATTTTTTGTGCTAATACCAAAGACAGATCACAAAAGCAGCAGTGACATGCAGAAAAGGTTTTCCCATGGCTAGAAAGGAAGTTATGTGGAGTCAGTCTTCAGTCTTGCATTGGAGAACCTTTAGTCCAGAAGTGGGGAACCCTTCCTGAACATTTATCCTTTTCCATCTATAGAAGGTAGGCAGGGTTTCCTTGAGCAAACAGGAAACTGTAGCAGTACAGAATGCGTTCCTCTTGTCCTCCGGCCGACCCCCTGTGCCCCGACCGTGGGATGAGAATTGCTAGGGAAGCAGCAGGGAGGGGAGGGAAATCCGCTGAAGGAGCGCCATCTACCTTTGTTATTTCATTTTTTTAGAAGGCTTGGGCATTTGACTGCAGTTGCTGAGAACAGTCAAGTGCCAAGACCTCTGTAGCCACTTCAGGATGAGTCCCAATTTGCACTTGTGGTTTATCATATTGGAAAAGATTACGACATAAAAAATAGTTATATGCCAACTTGCCAACTTATATACACCGGTCACATTTTATGTTTTGTTTTTTTGTTTTTTTTTCCAGGATGTTAAATTCAGCAAATAAAAAGTAATATACACATTAAAATATGCAGATTATCTGTAGATGATATGTTAACTTATTATCACTTAGAAAATCATTTACTCACTCACTCGCTACCTAAGCCGCTTATCCTCCTGAGCTGCAGGGTATGCTCAAGCCTATCCCAGCACTCATTTGGCAGAAGACAGGAAACAACCTGGGCAAGGCACCAGTCCATCACAGGGCCGACACACAGACATAAAAATTTACACACACTCTATTTAGAAAATCAACAAAACATATTTTTGACCAGGGACGCCCAAACTTTTGCACACAGCTGTTAAGCACAGACCGTACAGATATACAGTACACAATACAGTATGCAATAAAGAAGGTAAAAACACATGTAAAGTCCTACAAAAATCCATGATGTAAATTTACAACTTTCATGGTATATAAAGGCACGTTTGGAGAAAATACTTTTTCGTTTGTGTGTAAATGATTGATTAAATGATTAAGATGATTTAGCACATCCCCAACTAATGAGATATGTCACTCATTAAATTGAACAATAAACCTCCTATATAGACCAACACAGAAGAATACACTGACCACTTCAGTAGGTACACATGTCTTGTATTTACACTCCATTTTGTCAGGTGCACTTCGCATATAGGATGTGGAACCACCCTAATAATACCTGCTTAGTGGTGGTCCTGTGGAGGACTTGACCTTTGATGAAAAGATGGGCTAACAAATTATGCAGAGAAACAGATGGACCAAAATCTATAATGTGTTCACTGCATTTGAGTGCAGCTTCCCATACAATTGACCATGATATTTTACTGGACAGGCTTGAAAACACTGTTGGTTTTATTCAGTTCTTGCCTGGTTAGGGTCTTGCTTGACAGATCACTTCCAGTTTGTCAGTGTAAAAGAGGAATTTTATGAACACAGAAGAGTGCAGTCTGGTGTACCACAAGGCTCTGTTTTAGGGCCCTCGCTGTTTTTCCTTTATTTACCCCTAGGATACATAATCCTACTCACACATATTGCTTCAAAGACAGAAAAGCTTGGATGACCATAAACGTCATCCGGCTATACTGTGATAAAACAGAAGGATTGCTGTCATAACTAGCATGAATATTCATTATTTCTAATAATTGTAGAACTACAAAATGCACTTAGTTGTGTATAATAGAGCGGCCTGTTAATACATTTGTCCGTAAACCAAAAAACTGCAAGCATCATTCAAAAACGTGTCTAAATTTTTACTCTATCATTACAACAAAGATGGCGTATGAAAGCTGGTCTATATTTAAATTGGCAGAGCAAGCAATGCACCAGGCAGCAGTACAAACTTTCTGTGTTCCTGCAAAATTATGCAGTAGTTAGATGATGCAAGGAAATGGTCTGCGATCATAAATAAGGGTTTGCTATTTAGATCAATATCCTGTTTTAACAGTGTGTTTCTAGGGATGATTGTGTTACATGGACAGCATTTCAGCAGAAATCTGCGATGAAAGACAGAGGTATGGGCTGTTCTAACATTACTGTCCTAGTGACGCAGACATTCAAAAATGAAGTTAAAGCATTAGTTCCTGGACTCCTGCACATAAAATATGCAGTCTTTAATGAGGGATGCCAGGAGCACTTCCTTTCAAAAGCAAATAAATGCTCTACCTTATTTATAGGTGCTCCAATCTTCCATTCTGAGGCTTTTTGGTTTCCTTACCTTCCAGTCTAGCAGTTCAGTTTAACCACCATGCGGATTCTTTTAAATGTGTGTGGTATCCCTCAAGACACATGTCAGCAGGCCGGAGTCTTAGCTGCTCGCTTTTTAAATACTGTGCTGAGCTTTTCTGACTTTTCCAAGATGGTAATTTTCTCTTTCTTGGCATTTGTTTACCATCATAAATCAAGGCCCAATTTTCGCTCTGTTTGGTTCTGTCTGCCAGCGACAATTTGATGCACCTTGTTTATGTAGTTATTATTTCTACTAGCATCAGAACTCAGAAGGCACAGCACGTTACTGTTTCCCAAGTGTATGGCCTGGTGCTTCTACTAGATCTACCTTACAGGTCAGCTTGTTGTGTTTCAGTGCATCTCCAGTACTTACTAATGATCTTTTACTTGTGTTTCCTCTGTGTGTAGATAAAGGTGGAGAGTCCGAACGATTTTCAGGACATCACCAGCGTGGTGGCTCTTGCCAAAACATACGCAACAGCAGAGCCCTTTGTGGACTCCAAGTATGACATCCGGATCCAGAAAATTGGCAACAACTACAAAGCATACATGTAAGCACAGGTTTACCAGCTCTGCGAGTATGTGTGAGACCCTAAATGATCCCATATGCACACCAAAACAACCCAGTGTATCAATACCATGAGTTTATTTGAATTTGAAGTCAGTGGCTGACCTACGCTCATGTTTCAAAAGTTTGGAATCACTGTGAAAAAAGTTCAGAATGCATGTTTTTAATTTTATAAAACCAGGGTGGTTTTAGGTAAATATATATATAATGCTAGTCCTTTGCAATTTCATATCTTTCAAATAATAAGTGGAGTCCAGAATTATGAAGAGAGCAGCAGATGATTCTATACTGACTGCGAAAACATGATGTCCAGAGTGCCTCATATTTGAAAGGTGGCCATCAATTTTTGAGATACATGAACAAACAGTTACTGTGCATAGATAATTGCAGTGAATAATTTACAGTATATAATTATTCAAAATAGTTACAATTTTAAACAAAACACCTAAAAATATTTTGGTATATAGTTTATAGGAATTACATAAGTTGTCACTATTATATATCATCGCTGTCCAAAGATAACCGCTTATCTCCATTTTTGTCTGTTTTTTTTCTGCATCATTTCAACACACCAGCTGTCCTTTACGTTGTGTGAAAATTTCATGATAAGTGGACCAATAGAAATGCTCTAAAACACTTGAAATAAAATCTCTTTACATTGACTTACACTGAAAGTGAGTGTTTTTGCCTTCTCCGGTAAAGTTACTAGTTTTTCTTTAGACAGCAACGATATGCAATAACACAAAATAACAGGGAAACCTGCAAAAATGCCCTGTAAAAAATTCCATTTACCTGTAAAATAAAACCATAGTTTTTATGAGCTTAGCATGTACAGGATGATGAAACATAAACCTGTGCACCGTTAGAGGAAATAAACTGGAACAGCAATTAATTTTATTTTTGTAGCACTAAAAGAAATTCTTTAAAATAGGGGTCAGAAGCCTACCTGGTGAATATTGCATTTATTTGCCAAGTTTTACAGAGTTTTACAAGTTTTGCATTTAAAAAAAAACTGTTATGAATGAAAGTATGACATTAAAAGTGTTATGTTTAAAAATAAAAATGAGACCTCTGCCACTTCGTCTTAATGATTCCACTGTATTTTTAAAATAAGTATATTTAAAATTAAAGGTTTTATTAATTAAATCAATATTTGGGATAATATTAATTACATAATGATGTGTAAATTTAGAGTTATTGTTGTTGTTGTTGTTGTTGACAACAATAACTTTTAAACAAAGCAATAGTATTCAACACTATATCTTTTTCACATTCACAAAATAATTGATAAGCATGTGATTGTATCACATATTTATCACTGATTTTATCACTGATCAGTATGTTAGATGAGGCACCAGAATGTAACTGCTACACCATTTAAGGTGGAATGGGTAATACAAATAAGTTACTGTTGAATAAGAAGTGATCTGCAACTTCTTGTTTCCAAGAACAGACTGTCAGTAAATAGACAGTAATTGTGCATTAAAACGTGCCGATGTGTTCTCTGTAGAGGATGTGTTAACTTTCAGAAAATCAATAAAACATGTCATTTGACCAGGGGTGCCCAAACTTTTGTATACGACTGTATGCATGTGTCTTACAAACCCTTAAGAGACAGATTTCTTTCGCGTTCTGTCCTATTTAATGTGTTTATTCAGCAGCCCAGCTGTGGGGCTTGTTCCTTATATGTCAAATATATTTAACCATAGATGATGCCTGTATTGACCAGCTGCAAACAGCTAAAATGCAGCTTAGAGTATAACTACAGGGGCAAGAGCAGGAGGTATGAAACCTCAGGCTTTAAAGAGACACAGACGAACAGATGTCCAGCCAACGTAACAGTGGCTGGCAGCAGGTCACTATGGGAAATGGTCAGTTTTACCACGCATCTACTGTATAAGCAGCGTAGCGTCACAGGCCTGTATGTGTACGGCATGGACAGCGTGCTGGTGTGCTGCACTCCGTCAGCGCTGCACCCTGTTGTGGCATCCTCTCCAGCTCCCTGAGGAGAAGTGCAGGCGTCTCCATGGTCCTGCCCTAACCATAGTGTGGCTAGCCTCTGCACCCAAAGTCGCCAGCGGTGTGGCACTGGACAAGCGCTTTCCAGTACAGGCGTGGGAACCTTCCCAGCACCTTCCCTCTAGCTGACCGCTTTGAGCGTTTTCGATTGCAGCTGCTTGTTGTTTTCCTCGGTAACCCATAACTGTGGTGGATGTTTTGCATGTTCAGGCCAGTAGAGCTTTAAATGCCCCTTGCTTTAACTATTCATAGGCTTTTTGAGAGTCTCATCTAAGAGACACTTATATTTAACTTCTTATCTACCATGTTCTCATATCCAAAACCTTGTATTTGTATAAAGCAGTGGTTTGTTAGAAGCTGTTTTTTATGCAGCAGGGGCGGTGCCACACCTCCAAAAGGGTACTAGTGGCAGTGACTGATATAAGACAGCTTGGTTATTGACGGACTGACTGACTGACTGAAACGTTTAGCTCCATATATAGCATGTCATCGCCGTAATACGACATGTCACAGCAAACCTTTTCATCAACAGTGTCAGTGTTGTTGGTTTTGTTCACTGGGCTCTGCTTAGATAGCTGCCTTTGCTAGCTTGCATCTCTGAGCAACATCATAGCTTGGCAAGCACGTATAAGAAATACTGCAACTGAGATTCACACATTCTCACATACTGTGTTAATACAAACTATGTGAGCAGTCTGAACACAGTCAAAAAGCTGGGGGCGGTATCGCCCCAGTGGTTTGAAAAGTGGTGGGTCAAATGTCAGTTTGTCCCCACTGTTCATGTTTATTAATTACACTCTGAGAATTCCAAAATGTTTCCATTTTTCAAAATGTCTGTATAATTAAAACATTAAGATGTAAAAAAAAGCCATTTAGAGAGATTTGAGCCTGGAGTGTTCACAATGCTGATGATAGGAACCAGATGGCTGAACTATTTAATGCCCATAAAAACAGGTTATTACATGCAATATGCTGCCTGATATCTGAGGCATTGTTGTATAATAGCTCTGAGATAAAGTTTTGGCCTGAAATGTTTTATTTTTAATTTTTTTAATCCATTCATGGTGGAGAGGTACGTGCAGAGTGTTTGAAGTGTTTGAAGTAGTACCAACAATTTTTAATACAAATAATTTTTTTTTTTGATTTACCAGTATTTTGCTTTTATGGACATTACAGATAAAAACTCAGAAGACATGTGTAGGCTCTTATTGGTAGTTTTAGATAGTAAACTAAAATGGCTAATTTTGTAGACATTGTGACCCCTGGTTCCTAGCAACACCACTGTAAAAAGTTGGTAAGTTCCTGTACAATGAACCATTTCACATTAAACCACTCCAAATCACTTTCTTTACATCCCAGCAACTGAATTATGCAGAATGTTTTGGAAAAATTGGTGAATTTCCCCTTTAAGGAGTTTTCTTGCCACTGTCTTCCTCGGATTACTCATTATGGGTCTGGTCCTGGAATTCTCAGCAAGCTGCTTTGAGACAGTGTCTGTTAAAACTGGACTGATGCTGGTGCCACAGCGCTACCTGGCCGTTTGACAACGTGCAACATTACATGCTCTGAATGTAACTCTGCCTTCAGATGATCTCATTATTGACTTAACTGGAGGCTGCCATTGTGTGCGTGTGTTTTTGCATGAGTAAGAGATGGATAGAGCGAGAGAGAGAGAGAGAGAGAGAGAGAAAGGGGGATAACTGTGGGATGAATCATCATACTTATCTACACAGAAATACCGTCCAGTCGCTCGTCTTTCCTATCTTAAACATGCCAAAGTAAAGCGGCAGTGACACGCGTCTCGCTTTGAAGTTCTCACTTTCCAAACTAAACTACACAATAGATTTCGCTCTTATCTTCTGCTCACTTCCACACCACTTTCCTCCAGTGCCGTCACGTAGCGAGCACAGCGGCTATCGGCTGGACGCAAGTGATCCGTGGGCCGCATTGATAGCGGTCTTTGAATCCCTGGAAACAAAAGAGAGACATGACTAAGAATTAAACTATTGGCTGATGTTATCTTCATCTGTGCTTCAGACAAGAGAACACAGTACTTTGTTTCTCTTTGCCTCTCACCCTTTCTGTCTGTTATTGTCTGTCTGAATCATTCTGTATTGTCTCTCTCTCTGTCTCTCTCTCTCTCTCTCTGTCTCTCTGTGTGTGTAGGAGAACCTCTATTTCAGGGAACTGGAAGGCTAACACAGGCTCTGCTATGCTGGAGCAGATTGCTATGACAGACAGGTGAATCTGAGCATGTGAAGAATAAATAATAAATCATTATGTTTATCTCATCATAATGTGGAAAGAATCTGCATATAACATAAACAAGCATGCATTTTAATAAACACTGCCTGTCAAAAGTGGACACCTAGCTTTTTTAAAAGTTGTCTGTGATTAGGCCTTCTCTGCAAGTCTCAAAGGCCCTGAGGGTTCCCCTCCGACAGAATCTTTTTGACTTGTCAGATATTCTTCAGAAGCTTTCTGAGCAGAAGCTTTTCAGAAGGCGAGGTGTTCTTTGACACTGTTGATGGGCATTATCAGTAAGCAAATAAATGAATAGTGATCCAAGGTAGATGAACTGACTGGCAGGTCAGTGATGTTAGTAATGAGCTCTGTTCTTTAGGTATCGTCTGTGGGTGGACTCGTGTGCTGAGATGTTTGGAGGTTTGGATATCTGCGCTGTGAAGGCCGTGCACGGTAAAGATGGCAAGGATTATATTATAGAGGTATGTTAACCATCGCCACTGCTTATTCCATATGAAAAACACAATAAAACGCTACCCAGGATGGTCCAAGGTCAGCAAAAAACCCTGCAGCATGTTCCAGTGTGCAGTTCACAGCTGTTTTTCTGCAGAGCTTTATAATTGTTTTGTCTGTACATAAGCACTTTGACATTCATCCCCTCAGTTAAGCCAAAACAAACTAGCAAAGTGGCACTGAGTCCGTGAGTTTAGTGTGTTTGTGACTGAAGCTAGACTTCCTGATGTGCTATTAGTTGGGTGGATCGTGTCCGTTCCAAACACAGAATTAGAGTTCAAAGCAACTAGGCGAACAAAAGCAGTACAGTGGAAATCCATCCCCATCTCCAGCAGCATACATGTTTTCAGATAGAGTCTGAGCTGGAGCTGCTGATGACGTGATGCTTTGTTGATCCCATGATCCAATAGTTTACATCACAAGACAGACTCTGGCAGATAACTAGAAAAGAAAACTACTAATACCAGCAAAATACCAAGAAGTATGGATAAAGGTAGCCTTCTCAAATGTTAAGTTGTTTTCAAGAATTCATTTTTTCCATGTATTCCATTATTAAAAGTAACATATTATTTAGTGGGCATGTGCGGCTAGGACACCGAGTCTTTGCTTAAGCTCAGACCAGCTGGCTGCTTTTAAAACCACCTCATACTTCACTGCAAAAAGAGCTGATTACACTGAAGAGATGCGAGAAGAAAGTCAAGTATTTAAAAATAACTGAAAGGTTAGTCAATATACATCAGATCCAGATTACTTATTAGATGTACAGTGAAGCCACAAAGCAGAAATCAGCTAATGGTACTACAGTAGTGAAGGTAGTGATAAATGTTTGGGGTTTTGGGGAAATGATTTTTCACCTTTAGCATGGAATAAGCATGGATTTGTCAAATTTTCATTGTTTTTCAAGTTTTATATTTAATTAGACCCGAAGTCTGATTAAACCCCCTCAAGAGAAGGCCCATACTCAACATTTGTTTCCACAAACAGGGGTTATTCAACTGTAATGACTACTTTCTAACCTCCGTTTATCCCTTACTCATTTAAGCTGATGTCAGAGATTTAGGCAGAAGAAATGTTTAACCTGTTTAAATGGGACAGTGTGCTTACAGACACAGAGAAGCCTTTGACAGCTGTAGATTGAACAGGCAGTCATTTATAAATATGCTCATTGGTGGGGATGTGCATAGGCATGCTAGTACTCGGTCAACCATTTGAAGTTCCACTTTTCGAATACTGAAAACACTATTTGAGTGTTTGTCATGTTTCATAACAGGACGACAGAAAATATACAGGCTAACAATACAATAAAATGCTGATTTTATGTTTTAATGTTTTAACAGGACTGTAAAATGTGACCGTTTTGCTCATATTTGCAAATTAACTGGTGTATTATACCAGGAAATGAGTTTCTTAACATGAGCATGTTTAATAGCTAAGGACATGACTGAGAAGGTAAAGGTAGCACAAATGGCTTTGGAGCGACTTTTTCACTAACTAGGCTAACTGCTCTGGCTGGTGTTATCTCACATCGTCCACTGAGGAGAAAATACGTCATACAGATGATGAGTCCACATCAGTGTCCAACATTGTACTGGTTGGCTGTAGTGTTACCACTTACCTCTTAGACGCAGCCTCTGTCACTTATCTGACATAAAAACCTACCCATTTCCTGGGGCAGTTATGTAATTCTAAAACATGTTTGCACAAATATTCCCCTGTGTACCGAAATGTTTAGCCTCCTAACGCTGGTGTTATCTCATACATAATAAGCAAACAGCCCTGCATTGGTTTTAAAAGTGTTTTTTCTTATATGTTTGTTTGTTTTATTTTCTGCCTTATTGTGGATAGCTGAATATACGTTCATTAACCATTACAGATAGTTCAACATCAAAATTAGTCAGAATGCATATCCCTTGTCAATGATTGTGATATCACAACTATGGTGAATTCAACATGAGCTGTTCATGTAACTTAGTTTCCATATATGGACCGTATGGAGAGAGGCGTGAATGGTGCTTTTTGAAACTTCAGTAATGTTTACATACTACATCATCCTTTTTTCATACATTATAGCCTTTTAAAAGAGAATTCCACTGATTTCTCAATATTTTTGTGTAAACAGAGTCAGAGTGGTTTGGTGTGACCTGCTTCATTCTAGACAAACTTAATGCATCCGAAAAGTTAACAGTGGTGGTAATAGGAACCAGACATCTGAACAGTTTCATTCTGCTAAAAGCAACCTCATTGAAAGTTATTACACAAAATGGTTGTAAATGCCTGAAACATTGTTTTATGATGGGTTTTACAGAGGATTTTAGTCTAAAATGTATTTTTTTAAATCCTGAAATTAAAAAATGTAAATGTTATTTATTAATTCATTGCAAATTATCACTATTTAACCATTATCTACATTACATACAAAAACTCAGACGCATATAAGTTGTGTCAGATAGTATATCAAATGGCTGCGTTTGTGCTGTAAACATTGTGAACACTTGTTCCTCTCATCACACTGTGAATTTAAGGTACGTTTCTCCATAATCAGCCATTTGACATCAAAACACTCTGAATGCTTTTCTTTGCATCTCAACTACTGAACTATGCAGAACATCTTCATCTTCATTCCTAAAGATGAGAGAGTCTATGACCATTAAAATACCTTTTGAGAGTCAGGTGAGTCTGCAAGTCTAAGTAATAAAGACTTTTTGGGTAAACTTAGTTCAGTGAAAATGTGTTGGAAGCCACAGGAGTGCAAGGTGGTCAGTGGTGATTGACCAATGTACGTTCCACTCTCAAACCAGTTGAAAGTACAGATGGACACAGACAGTGCTGCAATAACAGCAGCAGTGGCAGCAGTTGTTCCAGAAGAGGTCTAAAAGTCTACAAATGAAAGTATGGAGGCCAGAGAAAACACAGCTGGTACAATTTTGAAAGAGCTGAAATATGAAAAAAACCTTTTTCAAGGAGACTTGGTCAGATGTACTTTGTCCTTAAGCCATTCCCCTTAATAGCAATGGGAGATAATGGAGCAGATGGGCTGTTCATGGTGTGCTTACTTTGAATATTTGATGCTTGGCCAACAAATAATATTCAAATTAGTTATGCTGAAGTCATAGCATGACTTTCCAATTGCGATTTTAAATGAGTATTTAATTAGTCATTAGAACAAAATGCTAAAGGACTTCTGTTGACTTTATTTTGGATAACTTTAGCTTATCACAGTGTGCTGATATTTTGATTATCACAGTGTGCCTGCTCTAGTAAGAGTCCAGAAGTTTCATGGAGCTGTTGAGATCACTCTCAGAGTTTAATCCTTCTCCAAACACTCTTGAATGGAATGCTGAAATGCAGGGCATTCTGAGGTGAGCACTGAAATAGTCGCGTTAATGATGGCGTATATTTGTGACCTTGTGGGTAGTGCGTGTGTGCCAGGAAGAAAAATGGCCGCATGCTGTGTATATAAGCACAGTGTTGAGAGCACCGTTACTCTGTCTTCTTTCCTTTCTCCATCCACCCTGTAGATGTTCAACTACAAGATGTTCATGTAATTTAGATTACCTAATGCTAGTAGCATGTTGGCAGCAATTCTACCATTGAAGTCCTGCTGTGCTCTTAAAGGTACCGAAAGCAAAGAGCATTAGAGCTAGGCCTTCAGTTCTGGCCATACATGTCTAAACTCTGCCCATAAAACAGGAAAAACACCTCTACAGTGATACAACTCGGAAAAAATGGAAAAATAAACCAAATCTATAGTAATGCAACATGTCAAAAAATGAAAGAAAATCTCTGCAATAATGCTACGTATCAAAAAAAGAGAAAAACACCCACACAACAATACTAATTTCCACCTCTATGGGGTTTCTAATATTATGTTAGTGCTAAACTAACAGTGGTAAACTAAACTAATATTTTGACTGTAAATAAAACACAACATTTGAGGCTTGTGAAAATATTCTATATGTTTTATTTGAATCCTGACGCAGACAGTAATACATGATTGCTATCCAAAAAATATTTATTTATTTATTTATTTATTTATCATTAGAGCACAGCAACTGTCATTGTGCTGAATGAACTAAAAGAAATGCTCCAAAGTTGTATTGAATAAAATCTCTTCACATTAACTTACATTAAAAGTAAAGAAAGCTTTTGCCTTTTCCTGTATAGTCAGTTTGGAGAGCTGCTACTGCTTTCGATTTCTAACAACTGACTGAGACCTGGTTAGGCTACCACACATATTCACAGTCAGTGATGTACAAAGGACTTCCAGAGAGCCACTGACTGGAGATCAAAACATGATTGACTGATCCCTCGGTCAGTTCCCAATGATATTGGTCGTTATCTGAGATGTGAAGCCTTCAGTTCAGTTCCTGAAGTCCTAATCAATGGCAGAGCCTGCTTGCCTATAACTACCTAGATACTATGGGAAATTAAAATGACTGGACAATTTTGCCTTGGGCATTTCATGAATTTAACCCTTTTATTTCCCACCAAAACTTAACAATGCATCAAGGGCATTACTCTAATACTAGCAGAATTTAAATACAAGAATCGTGAAGATTCTATCCATGAGCTAAAAATTAGACATGTTCTCAGAAATCATTAAGCCTCTGATTAGGTGAATAGTTTTGTTTTGCCTTTCTCAAAATCTGGCCTCAGCTTCATCACGTCCTCGACATTGAGGAATTGTTTGCCATTCCACATTTTAAAGTTGTTAAGCGACAAGGTCTACGGAAGGAAACCAGGCACAATATAAGCTATAAACCATCTCTGGTCCACAGATAATCTGAAGGGCAGACGACTGAAGTCATTCAGGTGCTGTGTGTAAGGAAAACACTCCCCCCTACTACTGAGAGTGTGCTATCCTGTCCTGCTGCACTGAAACCTCTCATCAAGGTTATTTATAGCTGAACAGTAATGCCTGCATCGTGGGACACATCTGTTTAGACAGGCAGATAATTGTCCATTTACT